CTTTAATATTCAAAAGAAATATTACAATCTAAGCTTTCTTTTGAATATTAAATCATCAAGATAGCTTCAAAATTCATTGAGATATGAGCTGTGAAACTTAAGGCATTAATTTTTTTCATATGTAGATTTGCTTGATTCTTTTGATGGCAGCCCATATATATACAGCTGATATAACCTTAACACATTATAGAAGTTTGTAAATCTTAAACATAACTTTTTAGTAAATAATAAACCTTAATTACATCTATATATTATATACATGTTTGCATTTACACATGCAGTAAATGATATAAAAATTAGCTGTTAATCAAAGTTACATATATACATATGTACCTATGTAAAAAAAATCATTTCTGTATTTCAGGTTTAATAGAATGAATGTTGTTTTTTGACAAATATTAGTATATACAAAAAACTATAGCAAATATACCAGATAAATGGCTTTTGAAAAAGCTATTTTTGATAAACTTATTAATTATATTGAATATAATAAATTCATTAACCCTATTTTGATCGGTAGTGAAGGTTTTTGAAAGGTTCATAAATATGAGTAGAGAGACAGCAAATTAACAATTACTTTTAAATGTCTTAAAGTTGATGCAAGCATTGATGAAAGAATCATTAAAGATTTTATCAATGAAGTATCCAAAGCAGTATAATTTTTGTATGGAATAAGGTGAACTGACTAGCTTTGTTTTTAGTATTAGCTCATACTACTCTAAAATTAACTACCAAAACCCTAAGAGGCTATTAGGTCGATGTCTAGATCTAATCCACCAATGACTCTCCCAAATTTTAGTTATGAAAAACATTTATTGGGACAAAGTCGTATTCACCTAAACTCAGTAGGAGAATATATTAAAAATGTTACTAGAGGAATATGTCAAGCGTTGATGTAGAGAGAATCACGCCAAAATGGTGCAATAATCTATGTTTCAATGTGTTCAATTCTCTATTTCTTAGATATATCAGATATATCATAGATCTATCTATTGCTTAGACCCCTTCAAATACATACACCACCTCTATTGCTTAAACCTCTCAAATACACATAAATTGTTTCTTGCTATTCAAACATTATTTTGTTCTATGAAGTGACGAAAGGTAAACAAGCAATTTATAATTTTTAAAGTTGTCATATAATAAAATGCTTAACGAGCAATCATATCTAATATACAGATAGCAACAAATATTATAATATAGTTTTAGCATACACTGATAACGCAACTTTACAAGAATACCTAATGGTAAATTTTTCTAGAGACCTGGTAAGTACTATGTTATATTTAATTACTGTAATATATTTATCAGCTATCTGTTATTAATTTACTAATACAGACTTTAATCATCAAATTTTATAATTTATTTTAATAATTTAGCATTCGAAAAACATCTTAATTCATCAAAGACAACTATAGATTGCAATTTTGGGAACTATTAAAGTAGATAAATAAAATATCTAAGACTTTAAACTCAATTGTTCATAGAATGCTAGCATATGTCGATTCTAAATGTTTTATTGATCCAAAATACAAATGTAATAAGAAATCTGATATCTATAGTCTTGATATAATTCTTTAAGCAGAAACCCTCTATTTCAAAACTTTGAATTTATAATACCACTTTGCTATCACATAATTTAATAAAATAGAGAAAACCCTATAGAAGGTACTATACATCATTTTAATATATTGAACTTTATCAAAAATATTGGGACAACAATTCTAGCAATTGCCCAGAAACAAATTTTATTATTAATACTTTAAAGCAACTTATTTCTATCAAACCTTTGAGTCAATATAATTCTATCAAAACATTATTTACATTATCTGAGAATAGTAAAATTCTCTCAAGCAGCCAAGACAATATAATCACCTTCAAAAATTCACTTGAAATTACAACTTCATAGCCACTTTATTTACTTAACATGATAAATTCGAATACTTCAAAGAAGGATAATAGTATTCTCAAAATTTGAGAAAAAAAGCACAAGAATGTTTCAACTAACACAAATTTCTCAAAACATTAGAACTTCTTGAGAAAATACTCAAAAACAGCCTAAAGATCAAAAAAACACTTGGAATCTTGGAATAAATATGGATTGAAATATTTAAGCAAACTAACAAAGGCACTCTACAAGAATACTACATTAAAAGATTTGAATCCTTGGAGTAATAATCTTGGATCAGAAGGTAGAAATGCATTAGCCGATACACTTTGCAACAATTTTTCCTTAACAACATTAAATCTCAATAGTAATTATCTTGGATCTGAAGAAGGAAAAGCATTAGCTGATGCACTTTGCAAAAACACCTTCTTAACAACGTTATATCTCTATGATAATAAAATTGGATCTGAAGGCTGAAAAGTATTAGCTGATACACTTTGCATTCTTAACAATATTATATCTTAATTATAATAATCTTGGATTAGGAGGAGGAAAAGCTTTAGCTGATATGCTTTGCAAAAACTCCTTCTTAACAATGTTGAATCTCAATAGAAGCAGATGTCCTTTGCAAGAAAACCTCCTTAATAGCATTAGATCCCAGATATAATAAACTTGAATTAAAAGAGAATACACATTAGAAGAAACACTTTGCAAGAACATTACTATAAAAGATTTAGCTATTCGAGAAAATAATATTGGAGGTAAAGAAACATTAATAGATGCACTTTGAAGAACACTACACTGATGTTATTAGATCTTACTTCAAATAGGCTCAAGTCAGAAGAAGGAAAAGTACTAGCATGTGCACTTTATAAGATTACTGTCTTAACGATATTAGATTTTAGTGGTAATAAAATTGAATCTGAAGAAGCAAAAATATTAGCTGATGCACTTTACAATAACTTGAATCTCCAAAAAATGAACTTGGATCTAAAGTAGGAAAAGCATTAGCTAATGCGCTTTGCAAGAACACCTTTTAAACAACATTAGATCTCTATTATAATAATCTTGAATCTAAAGGTAAAAAACCATTATCTATTACACTTTGCATAAACACCTTTACAACATTAAATCTTTATTAAAATAATCTTGAATTAGGAGAAAAAAAAGCTTTAGCTGATGCATTTTGCAAGAACTCCTCCTTAACAAAGTTGAATCTCAATAAAAATAATCTTGGATCTAAAGTAGAAAAGCATTAGCTGATACTCTTTGCAAGAACATCTTCTTAACAACGTTAAATTTCCAGAAGTAGAAAAAGCATTGGCTGATGCACTTTGTAAGAACTTCTACTTAACAACGTTAAATCTCCTTCATTATAATCTTGGATCTGAAGATGGAAAAACATTAGTTGATGCACTTTGCAAGAATTCCTTCTTAACAATATTAATCTCAATAGTAATAATCTTGGATTTGAAGTAGGAAAAGTGTTAGCTAATGCACTTTGCAAAAACTCCTTTTTAACAACATTAAATCTCTGGGATAATAATCTTGAACCAGAAGTAAGAAAAGTATTAGCTAATGCACTTTGCAAGAACATCTTAACAACGTAAGATCTTAGACATAATGAACTTGGGTTAAATAAAGGTTACACATTAGTTGAAGCACTTTGCAAGAACTCCACTCTAAAAGATTTAAATATTAGAAACAATAATTTTCAAGATGAAAAAGCTTTAATAGATGCACTTTGCAAGAACACCATATTGATGTCATTGGAACTTACTTCAAATAGGCTCGATCTAGAAAAAAAAAAAGCATTAACATGTGTATTTAGCAATATTATCTCCTTAACAATATTACCTCCTTAATAATATTACCTCCTTAACAATATTTTTTTTTTTTTTGGTATTAAGGTGACCTCTTTGGTCTGGGAACTTTTTATTAGAGTATAGATGAAGTTTTATATGTAATTAC